AAAGAAGCTGTGGTATATATACACAGTAGAATACTACTCAGCCATAAGAAACGATGAAATCCAGCCATTTGTGAGAACATGGATGGACATTGAGGGTATAATGCAAAGTGAAATAAGTCAGAGGGAGAAGGTCAAATACTGTATGATTTCCTGCATTAAGTAATAGATAATAACAACAATAAACAAACACATAGGGACAGAGATTGGATTGGTGGTTACCAGAGGGGAAGGGGGGAGGGAGGAGGGGGAAAGGGATAATTCGGTACATGTGTGTGGTGATGGGTTGTAACTAATATTTGGGTGGTGAACATGATGTAATCTATGCAGAAACAGAAGTATAATGATGTACACCTGAAATTTTTACAATGTTACTGCAATAAACAAAAAATTAAAAAAAAAAAAAAAAGCCACAGCTATGCCCCTTCTTTATGTGGCTGCGTTTGCAGAGCTGCCTAATTGCAACAAAGACCGCCTTGGTGCAAAACCTAAAATATTTACTATTTCTTTACAGGAAAAAATTGCCATCCCCTGCTGTAGAACATGGGCTCTGCCTGGCTCCATCTCATCTCCTCCCTTGCACTCTCATCCTTTTAAAAATGTATCTACATCCAGATCTAGCTTTTCCTTCCTGAACTCTCTCGAGGATCAGTTCTCTTTTAACCACTTATCTGTCCCCTTGTCTCCTGTAACCTGTGCTTTCCCAGTAGCCTCCTGTCTCTGACTTCTATTTTATGTCCTTTATAGGCTTCTCTTCCCCTGCCTGCCTTTAGACTCGGTGTTTCTTAGGGTTATCCTACCTCAACACACTGGTCTCACTCTATTCTCCCTGCCCTGCCCCGGGATTCTTCTCAGGAGGACCAGCATTCACTATCGCGTCATGTGTAAGGTGAGAGAGCCCAGGTTACTGACTTTAGGGGTTTATTTCCTTGACTTGGACAATACCGATACCTTAACACCTAAATGGAGCACTTGATTTTTTCCCTTTGGCCACTGAATTAGTCAATATTAGTCTTGAACAAAGAGCTCAAAGAGTAGAATGATCACTTAGTGGACAGCAATAAAAGGCATCGTAGCCCAGTGGTTAATAACAGAGGCTCTGGGGTCAGATTTATAAGCTGTAGATTTGAAGGTCTACCCCTTATTAGCTGGGAAGCCTTGAGTAAGTTGATTAACCTCTTGTGCTTCGCTCTCTTCATCTATAAAATGGGAATAAGGTATGAGAATTAATGTTTACTACTGAAGTGTGGTAAATACATCACATAAGCTATTAGCACTGGCCTCTAAATCTCAGCTTCTTTTTGAAATGATATGCATATTTCTCACCTTTAACATAGGCACAGTAATATCTACTTTCCACAGTTGCTGTAAGGACCTGAGAAAATGTTTGTTATGCCTGCCATAAGAATTGGCACGTCATTGGCGCTGAGATTTGTAAGTTCAAAAGTATTTATAATGAGATTTTTCTTTTGAACTAGATTTTCGGAACGAACTATGCATGTTCTTTTCTATTTCTCTCCAAGCAGGAACCATGACTTAGATTAGACTGTGCCTTTCTAGTCTACATTTTTATCTATTGAAAATTTTCCTTTTGATGACCTAATAGAGAGCAGCATCCCTACCCTTGAGAATTTCATAATCACAATGCACAACCAAGCTGCTTGGCCAGATAAGTCCCCTCAGCTGCATTTATATGTGATTTATACCAGTAGTTCTCAAACTTTAGCAAGGAGGGCTTATTAAATCACAGATTCTTGGGCCCCATTCCCAGAAATTCTGATTCAGTAGGTCTGAGGCACAGCCTTTTGCATTTTGCACAACTTCCCAAGTGATGACGATCCTGCTGGCCCAGAGCCCGCACTTTGAGTAGCACTGGTCTACACAGACAAGCTGGAGAGACTTTTGGTAACTTGAGACAATATCAAATAGAATAAGTCTTGCCAAAGAACTGACAATGGGTTGGGTATCAACATTTATCAAGAGGAGCAGAAAATAGTTACGTGGCCTCTATACTCTGTGTTAATAGGTTCTAAGACCATAAAAATAACAATGATAGGCATTTATTGAGTTTTGACTATGTACCAGACTTTTTTCTAATTCCTTTACACATATTAAATTTATTTTTACATTTTTACTTTATGGATGTCTTTAAAAATTAATAATAGCTTTCTCTAGATCATCTCTGTGACCATCTTATACTGCCATTCAAACTAATCGCCCTCGATTTTTGTTTGTGTCATTAACAGCAAAAGTATGATTTATTTGTCAAGAGCTATGAGAAAATGGCAAAGGTAAACTTAATATGCACGTGATGTACTCAGCTCAAAGATGCCTAAATGGAGTTCTAGATGAACCAAGGTTTGGATGAACCAGTAGTTTGAACAGGGAAAAGCAGTGGGGAACTGAGGCCTCATATGATATATGATATAGGCATACCAAACTCAAAAGAACCTGTGCTTCCGTAACGTATTGAGCAACAAAACCACGTAATCTAAACAGCCCATTATTTTATTGATTTTGTGGTTTTGTTTGTATTTAATTTTGTAAATTTGTTTTTGTTCTTTTGTTGTATAGAAATCTTTTGTTATATTAAAAAAATAGCATAAGGAATTTGATAAAAGCAATTTGAATCAACATTAGAGACACTCAAGCAATTTGAATCAACATTAGAGACTCCAAGAAAGCTCCCCACATTTAACTCAAGTTTGAGAAACTCTATATTTTAATAGTACTTCTAACTGAATAGTCTATCATTGAGAATAGTTTTCAATAGGGTGATTTTGCCCTCCAGAAGACATTGAGCAATGTCTTCAGACATTTTTGACTGTTGCAACTGGGGGGTTACTACTGACATCTAGTGAATGGAAGCCAGGGATGCTGCTAAACATCCCACAATGCATAGAACACATGCCCCCACAACAGAATTATCTGGCCCAAAATGTCAATAGTGTTATTGTTCAGAAACCCTGGTATAACATTCTCTTTCACCAATTCATAACAATAGGAGGGGCAAGATGAACTATAAATATTTTTTGACTTACAAAATTTACAAACTATGTTGGAAGACAAGACACGCAGACAGGAAATAATTAGAACATTATAAACTATGGTACTATAGATTCAGAAGATTTAAATAAGAACCTCAGAAGACAACTAATACATTCCCATACAATGCAGAAATTTTCTGTATGAGGATTCAAGCCTGTTCATCTAAACTCTTTTTGAATTCCTATAATAATGAGAGGTTCATTATCACCTGAGACAGGCACTCGATCTCATTGTCGGAAGACTTCTTGTTAGTGTTAGAAAATTACTTCTTGAATTAAGCCCCAAATATGCCATCCTATAAGTTTCCTTTTTTGGTCCTCATTTTGCCCTCCAGAGTAACAGACCCAGCCACTTTTTGACTAGAGCTACTACAAAGCTCTCCTTTTTCTATGTAGGTCAGTAGTTGGCTTCTCAAACCTACATGTAGAACTTTTATTTTTCTTTTAATCCAACTTTAATGCTGGTCATTTTGAAACAATTTTATTTTTCTAACCAAATAGCAAGTCCTTCCTGCTTTATTTCAACCCATATTTTAACTGCCACATAAGCAGATTTCCATCTCCATTACTCTGCCGACTCAAAAAAAAAAAAAAAAAAAAGCCACCAAATATGGAGGTTGACGTGTAGTATTTACTTTTGACATTTGGATGTGGGTAAGAATTAAGTATTGTAAAAAATTTTGGATGAATTTTTACAAAATAGAGTTACATATACTAAGCACCAGCAATGAACATGAATTTTCATTATGTCATTCAAAAAACATTTATTCCATATTTACCATGTACCAGGCACTGTGTTAGGTGCTATGGGGAGTAATACAGCTGAAGAAGACATAATCTATGCCTTCAAAGGATTGGTGAGTTCTTTTTACCTACCTATAATCTTGACTCTCCACAAAAAGGATAAGGATATTTTGAATGCCATAAATGAGACCTTTTAAATTTTCTTTATAGATCTATTATAATTTTTAAATTCGGGGCATAAATACTATTTTATTTTCTAAAAATCTAATGAAATTGCACCACATTTTCAAACGGTGACTAGTATAGTTTTACACAATCTGATCATTTGAACTTTCAAAAGTTTGAAATGTCCTTGAGCCATTCTTATGTGACTGGGTCTTCTGTTTATTTTTATGGCAATCATTGGCACCTGGGAACCCCACCATCTCACACCATCCAACAGATTCTGTTCAAAGGACAGTTCTTATTCAGCTTTCAATGTCCTAGAAGCTAACAGAGTGCCTAATGCATGCTAGGCATTTCATAAATATTTGTTGAATGAACAAATACAAAAATAAATAGATACTCCTATTAGTCTGCTCTGTTCCTTTCTCTGAAATTTTACAAACTTATTTTCTGTGCCCTCATAGGGAGAATAATCACATGGGATTTTATATTGAGTCATTTTCATGTTTCATGTGTTATATTTTACCCATTCTAAATGGATTGCAATTTCATTGATGCCCCCACAGCATTTCTCACAGATCTATGTTCCTGTGAAGTGAAATATTTGTTGAATATTATTACTGAATTTTTTCTTTCCCTATGTTTTTCTTCCTCTGTCTCTTTCTCAATTAACTAATGTACATGAAAATGTATTTTAAAATATTTATTGAATAAAGTCTTATTCTCCTAGATATTACTTTTAAAAGAAATTAGTTCAGCAGTTTCTCTTTTTAAGAAACAAACAAACAAACAAAACCCACAATCATAAATACACACGAGGTTGTGAATAGGAAAAAGTTTACTTATATCCAAGCTAAATACTCTAACAGGCTTCTCCTAGAGATCTACGACATCTCAAGGAAGGTGAGGAGTTACAAAGAGGCAGAAGCAGAGGAGGAAAAACTGGGAAGTTATCTCGGAAAATGGAAGAATCCACTGTAAAGGATTTCAACAACCAATATGGTAAAACCGTAACAAGGAGAAAATTGCCAACCAAAAGATGCTTACCTTTGCACCCCTCACAGGTCAGTGCATTATAATGATATCCAGATGCTCTGTCTCCACAAACAACACACAGCTCATCCCCTTTTATTCTCCCTGCTGACGCACCCAGCCGGGCCTTCTTTGTTACAGGAATCTCTGCTACCTCAGTCTCTCCCTGGTAGAGAGACTCAGCTGGCATTCGCCTGAGTTCATATATTCCAGGAGAGTACCACTCTTCAGGCTGCTGGGGGTAGAAGCCCAAGTTGGAATAATAGGATGATGAGGAAATCTGTGGTTGAACTTGGGGAAACTGAACATTGTTGTATTGTAAGTATGGTTCCACTTCTAGATTCTGCCCCAGAGGACCTGCCACTTGTTCTGTTAGGACACCTGAACAAAAGTGACAACAAAACTGGAATTAACGTCATCATTCTATAAATTAGAGAGGCAGTTTATCACATGGTTAGGAGTGTGGGATTTAAGAAAAGACTGAAATAATTTACTATGTAAAAATTAACAACATTTTTACAGCAAAAAAAATAAACGATGTAAAGGATTAGATGACTAAATTAAAAGCTCAGAAAAATATCTGCAACAAAGAGAACAGACCAAATACTCATATCATTAATCTGTGAAGAGCTCTTGCAAACCAATAAGAAAACATTCAACATTGAAAAAATGAAAGCAAATAGGAATGTTAAAAAAGAAAAGCAAAAAAGAGTGTTAAAAAACCATTCAACACAGAAAACATTCAATATGCCATGGAAAAAAGGATAGAGGACATGAATGGACAGTTTTTAGAAATACTAACAAGTGTTTTATAAACATACAAAAATGTGCTTACCCTCACCAATAATTAACTTTAAATCGAAACTGTAATAGAAAATATCACAGTTTTCATCCTCAAATGTATCAAGCTTAAAAAAGTTTGACAATACACACTATTGGGAAAGTAAACATTCTCAGAGGGGAATTTCTCAATATCTTTCAACATTTAAAACTCAAATACTCTTTTAACCCAGTAACTCCACTGCTAGAAAATTTATTTTAAGGATATGCTCACATCTGTATGAAAAATGTGTAAAGATGTGTTTGTGTAAAGATGTTCATTTGCAGCAACATTTGTAAGAACCATAAATAGGAAACAATTGAAATATTCATAAATAGGAGTCTGGTTAAATAAATTATATTACGCCCATACACTGAAATACTATGTAGATGTGAAACAATGGTTTAGATCTATATGTGCCAATATGGAAAAGTTTCTACGATATGGTGCTATTTGAAAAAATTAAGCTATATTATAATGAGTATATTTATGTTAGTATTTAAAAACTATATCCACATGATGTGTGTGTGTGTGTATGCAAGGGAAATTTCTGCACAATACAAAAGAAACTGGATGATGGTGACTGTGGGAAGTGAAATTGTTGCATTGTTTTCTGGGGTGGGAGATTGCACAATCTTTCTACTGATCGTAATTTTTGCCATGTATATTCATTAGTCTAATCATTATGAAACAAAAGGAGGAGTTTTAAAAAAAAAAGAATGCAGTGCCTGGAATTAGTCTACCCTGGTTCAAATCTCAGCTCTATTACTTATTATCTGTGTGCATGGTGGCTATTTACTTAAGATCTTTAAGTCTGTTTTCTCTTCATAGAACTGGGTATGACACCTACCTCATTAGGTTGATGAAAGGATTAAACAAGATAATGGAATGCAAAATGCAAGCACTTTGCCAAATATTTGGGACACAAGAAGTATGCCATCAAAATAGTAATGTGCCAACATTATAGCTGCCATCAAAATAGTAATAATAATTATTACTCTTACAGCCATTATTATGAAATGAACCTCATATCTATATAACATCTAGGTAATAACTATCAGATTGTGCATATGCTTCTATTTCCCAGAAACATAAACTATGGCTCTTTAGAAAATAGAAATATTTAAATTATGCAAAATGCTAAAAATTTAATAGCTGCAAGTAAGATACAGAAGAATATACAAATGTGTCTAATTCTTCAAAGCAAGTCAGCCAACCCTAGACCGAAATTCCAGTGCCACCTCTCATGAGCAGTGAGATTTGGAGCAAATTACTTAAACTATTGATGAACCCGTTTTTATAGCAGCAAGCTTTGGATGAAAGTATCTATATCAAGGGTTATGCTGAGCAATGAACGAGATAATACAGATCCACAGCTCCTCATCTGAAACCCTTGGCGTCACATGTGTTTTGGAATTCAGAATTATTTGGATTTTAGAACAGAATACAGTGCTATGTCTCCCAGCATTGTCCAGGACAGAACCCAGAATCAAACAGCAATATTTTCCATGGTGAAATGTATGAATATTCATACTAAGAGGAATAAATAAAGGCCATAAATATCCTCACATCCACTCATGTCAAGTTTTGCCACCAAAGAAGTTTGTGCCAAACTTTGGAAAAAATGTTGAATTTTCAGAGTTTTTGAAATTTAGAATTGTCAGTTAGCGATTGTGGATCTATGCATCTATACATGTAGAATGCTCTTTGCAATGCTGAAAAGATGGTTGATGCTACTATTATTATACTATTATTATTAAAAAACTTTATTATAGGGTCCTTCTTAGTGTCGGGCACTTGTGTATTCTCACTTCTTTCTCACAAAATCTTATGAGATGGGTACCATTACTATCCCCACTTACAAATGAGTAGCCTGAGGCACAGAGAAGTTAGGCAACTTTACTCCTACCCACCTCAGTAGGTGAGTTTTGAACTCGGGGGTCTGACTTCAAAGCCCGTGTGCAAAATCACTTCTCTCTGGGATAATTTCAGATGTGTGATGCTTTAAAGCATGATAGTAACAGCATTTCTCTTCCTCCCTCTGTGCTTGAGTTCATTAGTCCCTTTAACGCCTCTGCATGCAGGTAACCTATAATGAGGCCTACAAGGCTCTGCATGATCCTACCCTTTCTTTCTTTTCCAGAATTTTCCATGTTCCAACTTCTCTGTTCCTTGAATGTGCCTTGCTGCTTCCAGACTCAGGACCTTTCCCACATGCTGCTTCCTGAGCCTGGAACCTTCCTCAACACAGCTGTGTCCTCTGAGAGTTTCACCTCACTATTCTCCAATTATCTCTAAATTTCCTTTAAGTGTAACTTCTCTTGGGAAGTCTTCCCTGACTGTAAGTCCCTGGGCATCCTGGCTCTGAATCTAGTTATGCAGTATTTACCTATCCTGTCTGGGCCTCCCTTTGCTCATCTTTCAAGAGAAAACTCCGTGCTGGATGATCGTACAGCTTTTCATATCTAAAATCTCTATATGACTAAGTCTTTGAGCATTAGAATTCAGGGCTTTTCTACAAAGGCAAAGTAGAGTACATGCATATTAAATGTTTGTTGAAAAGAATGCTTCTGCATTGACCCAGGAAATGATTGACAGAATACAAAGTATACAATATCTGTGCAAATATCAATTTCCTCTGTTTCATGCCTGACTTATCCATATAAAATCAGCACTGAGTCAGAATATCTGACAGACAAAAAGTTTTGGCAATGGTATTTTGTATTATAACCAGAAAATGGAAGAATATTAAAATATGGAGTTATTACAGAAAAAAGAGAAGATAAAATATAAGCAAAATCCTGATTTATTTAATAACTAAATATCACTAAAATTTCTGGAGTGAACAGAATTGTAAAGAACTAAAAAGCATTAAAAGCATTAGTTTCACTTACACTTATACCCAGATTTTATCCTCCAATTCATCTTACTCCCACTCAACTCCCCATCCCCACCCCCAGCCCCAGTTTCTCTCTGCCTACAGATCCAGTAAGGTCAAGCAACTTGCTTGAGGTCAAATAATCAATTAATGATAGAATCTGGATTCTATAGAATCCAAGAATATGTGTAATTTTTTTCTCCTCACATGACAATTCCAACATCTCTGAGCACTATTTCAACAAAACAAATCTTTTAATAATCAAGAGACACAATGGGGTCCCAACTCAAGTCAGATTATGGTATCAATATTATATCAGTCTCTGGAATCATCTCAATTAAAATGGAAAGATTTCACAAAGGCATCGATTCTATTACATGAAAACAACAAAACGTGGTAAGAATATAAGATCAGTACACCGTATTATTAAATAGTGCCTCTATTCCCAAAGCACATCTACTTCTAGTGTTTTACAGTGTCTCCACCAAATATCCACAGAGTAGAGACAATAAATATACAGGCAATTTACAATCAAAAAACCAGCATGGCCAACATATTTCAAAATGGTGGAACTAGAACGACTTCCACAGTGAATTGACTGTGAGACCTTGAACAAATGCCTAACATTTTTTGTTTCAATTTCTTCTGTAAAATGGGCCTATTAACACCCAGCCTTCCTGTCTCATAAGGTAGTTCTGAGCATAAAATAGAGTTGTTGAGAAAAGTTTTAATAAGTTGAGTGCCATAAAAAGACATGTTTCTTTCCTAAAGAACCTAGCAAAATCCTGATTCTAATGATAGGTAATTAGTAATTATGAATACCTATCAATCTGTTTTGATGACACAAGTTATAGAATAGTTCTTTCACTTATAAATAAATATTGAACACTTACTATTTTCCAGACACTGTGCTGGGCTCTGAGGATACAACAGTGAACAAGACAGACAGAAAACAGATAGAAAAGCCCCAGCCTTTCTCTTGTTTGTGTGTGTGTTGAGGAGGGGAGGGATATGTCAAGGGCTAGGATAAAACCAGGTAAACAAATACAGAATTTTCTGATAGAGCATAAGATGTAAAGGGGGCAGAAGTAAGTCAACGTTAGAGTGTGCTTTCTGAAAGGGTAAATTTACTTCTACTTCAATTTTCCCAATGAAGGGAAAATATGTATATATATTGAAATTTGAACTTAATGGTGCTTTCTGGGTATCAGTCTATCAAGGAGTGGGAGAATCTGGATTCCTTTATGACAATTCTCCATTAGAGTTTAGAAAAGAGTTCTTAAATGGGAACACTTGAATGGACTCTGGGGGAGTCTGAGACCCCCTGCAAAGGAAAGCAAAATTCTTCTGGGTAGAGAGTCTCCAGTATTTAATAGTTTTTCTAAAGGAATACCATCTAAGGGAACTTTCTGAGATGATGGAAGTGTTCTATACCTACCAATATGGTGGCCACTAACCATATGGAATATTGAGCATTTGTAATATGGCTAGTGATCATGAAGAAATGAATTTTTCATTTTATTTCATTTTAAATAATTAAAAGTTAAAATTAGATAGCTATGTGGCTAATGACTACCATAATAGACAGCGCAGCTCTAAGGAGTTTGGTGATCAGAAGCACTGTGTACCTAAATGGGAGACTCAGGTTCATGTAATAAGGATGGCACTTTCCCATAATCTCAT